AAAAAAAAAGTGGAAAACAGCTAAACATGAGAGGTTTTTGGACAAAGTTTGTTTTTTCCATTCTTTAAGCACCGGCACCGTTTCAAAAGTACCGGTTTGGTACTGGTATCGGATAAAACCTAAACGATACCCATCCCTACATCTGGGTGATGTCAGTTTTGATTAATCTAGCTTTATATACACACTAGCATTCTGAATGTGTATACATTTGAGCAAAGTAAGTATAATTGCATTATCCAACAGCCAGCAAAAATAAAATGAAGCCTAATGGCATAACTGAAGAACAAAGAGTTCTCTGGTGATGGCAGTGAGTCAGCAGTGTGGAGATCACCACCGTCATTACGGAGGATCTCATAACAAACGAGAATATCCACCTAGCAGCTGGAAGGCTGTTTCAATTGCAATTATTGCAATGCAATTATTGCAATAATTTTTTATTAGTATCAATCCAAATTAAACCACTGACAAATATAAAAGAGTTTAATTGGTGCACAGAACATCATGTGACCAGTTGAATGGGTCTAGTTATGCTAATGTTCTGCGTACTGCTTTTTGAGAAACAGAATGGCAGGCTAACTGGCCAATAGACACCGCTGTTCGATAGCGATCTTTGGATCGGGCTGCACAGAAAGAGCTCATTATCCACCTTCTGCACACCCGAACTTTAGTTGTTCATCCTGTCCTCACCTCTAAAGTATCTAGCTCAACCTTAAGTGTTCAGTTTGAAACACTTGGGAGAGCTCTGCTGGGCTTCCCCTGATAAGAACCCTGCAGAGGTGTTAGATTGCTGGCGTACCCCAACAGAGCACATTATGTGCGTCTAGCATGTGTTTTGCTGAAGATGAAATAAATGGAGAACGGGAGTAGACCTAAGCGACTCATAAAGATGAAAACAAACCCACACTAGACTTGCAGTAAGTAATGAGCATGCATTCACAGAGCACTGCAGGCTATTAAGATGAAAATTCTTTTTCTGCGCTTTCTATGGCTGACTGAAGCTTCCTCTTAACGGCTTAGATGACTGAGTTGTCGCGTAGAGGGAAAACTCAGCCCATCTGGCAGACCGAACCAAGCGATAACATCAAGCTGAACTGAAATCAATTACAGAGAAGCCCCGGGTGCCACTTAAAGACATGCGTCTGTAGTGAAAGGACGACAGTCTCCAGACATATGGTTGGAAAACCATACAGGGCAGCTAGCTGGCAGTCCACTACAAAACATCATAATAATATTAATGAGGCATCTATAGAAAAGCAATTTTAAAAAAAGAAATAATTGCAATAATTCTGTCAGTCAAGTGTATCTACAACTTTTTTGTGTGTCTGTTGTCTTTTTTGGCAAATGAAAAATGTTCAAAATACAAGTTTATGGAGGTGGTAAGAGAATCTGTAAGCATAACTGTACAAAGGTAAACAGAAAGAAAAATCAGTTGTCTGTAGCATATGTGCAAAATTAATATTTCATTTTCAAATATCACCATTACCATAAATATCAGATTTTCCTGAAACCCCCTAAACTCAAGGCATGACTGTAGGGCAACAGGTCAAGCTTTATGCTAAAAGCTCTGCTGCAATTTTTTCTACTCTGTGTGATGTAAATATGAGAGGATATTTGTAATATGGTCATGTTGGCTTCTGTGATGCTCTTTTTGCATCACAGAAGCCCACCCGCTGTTTCCAGGGGTCAGCCAGTCAGAAGTAAGCTGACTGAAGCTTGTTTCAGACGGTGGATGAAGTCATGGACTGCACCAAGACTCAGCGTGAGATAAGTAAGGATTATTTGATACTGTGAGTCACAGAGAACTACTCTGGTAAACTACAGGAA